AGGCTGAAATACAAGTTAAAATAGCGCGCCATCTTTTGGATGAGATATTTAAGCCGTTGGTCCCGTGTGCATTATGGCCCATGTGCACGTTAAAGAACACAGTACACTCTTCGGAAAAGAGTAGGGATTGTCTCCCGGTGTACTGTCCAATCACCACCAGAAGGACCCCACTGGAAATAAGTCTTCTTCTAGACTTTCGTAGGCTATCCTTGGTGTTTACACCGAATAAATCCAATCCAATCCAATCCAAGTGGCCTAGGGGCCTACCTACGTCGAAAATTAGATGTTAATAATCAGCATTTATTACTTATAATAATCCACACTAACTATTCTCTAATAAGAAAGCTTCGAAATTATGTATATATTTTATTGAAGTAAGTACGAATATAAACACATTATAAACATAACCATTTAGGCCTAGGCCTAATGGATAAACACGAGTACGACGGAACATTCACACCGCATATACGCTGTACAGCGAAGCCATTAACCCCACTAAGCATTTACAGAAACCAATATTAACAACAGCAAACACGTCGGGGAAGTTGATTTATTATTTTAAAAAAAATATAAATACAAAAATAAACATACTCACCATCTACTTATGACATCCAAACGATTTAAATATACTTCGACGTAAGCTAATAGTTCGACGCAAACATTTACACTAAAGTTTCCAAAGGATAGTTTCAAAACAAACAAGCAATGGTGGTATTTCGTGGCTTGTCTGCTCATTCGATCTATGGAAAGTTCCATTCGCAACGTGGGGTTATTGAAATTTATTGAGGGAAATGTGCTTCGACGTGACAAACATAAACATTGACGCCACTTGCATTCCGTGAAGTATTTCTCAATATATTTTGTACATTATGAAGTATAATTTAAAATTTCCATAACATTTTACTTATACATGAATGAAAAATATAAAAAAAAAAGTATGGCTGTGTAATCCACCACACCTGATAATTTATGAATGTGAATGCTTTGGATAATTCTCTGCATATCCTGCCATTAACAATTCTTATCTTAGTTTCTTTACAAAAATTTAATAATTCTTTACCATATCTATTTACCACTTTATCTTCATTATTTCTACACGGTAATTCTATGTCTACATTATACGCCTCTGTGTCCCAGTCAGTCAGGCACTCATCGTTAGTAATATAATCATTTTCATTCCCTGTTCTACCATTAAAATCACCCATTACGATGATTTTATCTTCCTTAAAATATGAGCTAAAGTATGAGTATTCGTTGGATAATATTTCAAATAAATTGTCATTGACAGAATATTGTGAGCCAGTTGGATGGCGGTACACGATAGCCACGATTATATGGTCTGGATAGTTAAAATCGATTTTGATGCGAAGCCAAATAATATTTTCAGATGAACTAGGTAATTCTTCAACAAAATAATGTGTTTTAAAATAGAAGAATATTCCTCCGGAGTTCCGTCCGGTATTTGAGCGTTTACTTTTCAGTTTCCAAAAACATTCATAACCAATTATAATCTTTGCTTCGTTATACTCACTCCATGTTTCAATCAAACTTATGAAATCAAAATTTTGTAAATATGACACTAAATTAATATCGTTAATTTTATCAATAAATCCGTGTATATTCCAGGAAAGAAAATTAAATTTTCTGATAGAGGTGTCATTTATATAGATGTTATCATTAACATCGTCTTTTGTGTTGTTATTGTGTTTATCTTTACTATTTTTATCATTATCTTCATTGTCAATAGTTGTATTATCATTATATTTACTATCCTTGTCATCGCCATTATCTGTTATCGTCATTAGCAGTATGATCATTATTTTTTTGCAGTATTTGGACCGTGGCCGGTTCCCTATTTAGGTCCATTTAACTTAACTATCTTATCATATTCAATATCATATGTGAAAGCGTCTTTGCCAATAAAAAGTTTATCATATCTTAATCTAAACTGCTTGCCGTCTTTGATTGCTTGGTCAATTTTGGGTTGTAAGTTTTTTCTTATTTTTCGAACTCTCGTAGTATAATCTTCACTTATTTTGATGGTTGGTACAGCGTCGTCATCTGCCTGTCTTCGTCGTGTCCTACTTTCTTTTATAATCTTTTTTTTGTCTTTGAAATTTTTAAATTTCACTATAATTGGTTTGGATTTTGTATTTAATCTATGTGCCCTCTCAATTTGAATATTCTTCCCATCAATTCCAAGGTTATTTGTAATACATATTTTAATTCTGCTTTCACTTTGATCCCAGTTTTCATGTTCACTCTCCTCCATGCCATAAAATATTAAGTTGTTTTTTCGTCTACTCTGCCCCTTTATTCGATCAATCCCTCAATTCGTTATTAATAGTTTTAAGATTTTCATTTTCTTCTTCAATGTTCTTCATTCTTTCATTTAATGAGTCCATGTATATTGCTTAGGACATCAACTTTTCCTTTCATACTTTTTATGTCTCCTGATATTTCGTCTATCTTAGTATTAAGATTCATGTTTATTGTCTGTATTTGTGTTAGTATATTTTGCAATGACGGTTCGTTTATTGTCTCATCAACTGTGGCTTGACCAGTGATTTCTTCTAGTGTGGATTGCCTAGTGTGTACTGGCCCCGTGTTGGTTTCGACGTTGTCAGCCAAAAGCAATAATACACAAAAAGCGGACATACGAATTGTTATTCGTAACAATGTTCTAATATTTACATTGTGTTTAAATGATTGTTTCTTTCTATTGCGTTTTCCTCTCCAATACAGCCCAACTCTAAGTCTATAATTAGCGATGTCGATCATTCTTGTTACAGTACGCGAGTACAGGTAAACAGTTACGCAACGTACTGTAACGGTATTCCGTGTAGTTACTGGTATGTGACCGGTATGTTATTGATCAGTGAGTGTGACTTGCACTGTATCGTAACAAAACTATGGTCATGCGAAAACAATTTTGTTATATTATGAAATAGAATGTATTACTTTTCAAACTGAGAACTCTATTGAAGTAACAAATTATGTAATACGGTATATAAGGAGTATAATAGTCCTACTGTGTTATTCTACCTTCCACGGTCTCTCGTGAAAATATTCATGGAATAAGTTCCTGGAATCCGGAAACCAATCTGTCTGTATAAAAGTTATATAGAATCTCTTACCGGTATAGGCCTATAAGTTCCAAATAACAGCTTGTGCACTACTCTATTAAAACCTTACAGACTTGTGTAATAAAATGACTTCCTATATTGAGAAGAAACACCGCCTTGGGCTGTAGGTGTGCCGTTCCGTGGGTAAGTGAGGTGTACCGGTACTAGTAGTGCTGTGTTCTTGGTATTTAATATTCCCTGGCTTGAAAATACGATGTGGCTCAAACGACAAAACGAAAGTTGAACAATAAATATTCTTCAGGAATTGTACTTTTCTGGTGAAAATAAATCTTTATTGCCAACACGATTGCTACCATTAATAATGAGTAATACACTCCTGTTTGGACGCAACATTTCACGAATCATATTGGCACCATGGTTACGTCAAAGTACAGTACATTATTTTTTAGGTACGGTAATGCCATGATGACAACTGAGTAAATATTTTGTTTTGCAATTATGTGTTTATGTTTAACCATCATAATTAACTGTATAAAATTTATTCTGATTATTTTATTTATACAACTATCAGAATGGCATATTCACTGTGTTTCATGGTCACACATTTTTCTCAAAAACATAAATTGACACCATCAGCCTTTTGATTATAACATCCTCACTGTATTTCCAACATGGTCGTTCTTGGTCTTAGCTAATCTCTAATACTTGGAAGTAAGTGATAGTAACTATAGAAATGTCTCTTCTACACGACAAAAATTCCTTTTATAATTTGCATATATGACAGTTTAGCCATGTGTATATATATATTTATATACAGGGTAGCCTACGTTCCATCATGTCCTTATTAAACACTGTATATGTAGGCCTACCTTTGATGATTTATATTATAAGTTCCTATTTCATGTACAAAACACACACGTGTGTCAAGAATTAATTGTTAGGCGCATGCTGGAGTTTATTCACTCGGTCTTAGACGGTTTGTTGTACACTATCAGTGATCTCTACTACAATACAAAACACAGATAGTCGCTTTGAATACACCGACATTCAACACGGCGATCATACTTCATGTCTGCAGCCGTGAAAAAACTCCACCCAATGCGTAAGTTGTCGGCATATCGATAGTGCATGATTTATTCATCTCCGAATACACCACCCTCATATCATAATTTCATGAACCCCCCTAATTATGAATGGATTTTATTTATAAAATCTAACTAACGTTAATCTACCATTTCATTATTCCCCCATAAAAAAAAAACACTGACACCGACATTTTCTTTTTAACTTTATTATACATTGCATAAATGTTAATGTAGTTGAGAACAATCGTATTGCATACAAAAAAAAAGTCCAAGCGCTGTGTCTACAGCTAATAAGCGCTCTTTTAAAAAGTTGTGAACCCCTGGTTTCCAGGTTATTTTGTACAGGTATTTCCTTGACGCCACAAGTATATGGATCGAGTGAAAAAACTTGCATTACTTGTCCTGTTGCGGCACCCACGGGTCTGTGTTTGTTCATAAGCTAGAAGATAAGTCATATATTATTGCCTGAGAAAGAGAGAATGAAGCTTGTATACACATTAACAAGTACAGTATGCATAGTACTCTACATTATTATGATCTTTATTTTGAATTTCTTTCGAGCGCAAATTGGCTCCAATCCAACTTCAGTCCAGGCCTAGCCTAGCATATCGGTAGTGTAAATACATAGGAATTTCACACAACCCCGATTTTACATATGAATGATTTTTACGAAACCCC